TATATATATACGCAATCTCTTGTTCTCAAAGCAGAAACCATACGAGTTTAGTAAGAGATTACGGCCGTTATGCTAAAATAACGATATACGAATATATATATCGACGGTTCGGCAAGTTTGGTCAATTTTACGGTCTGCGGGTCTTAAATTTTACCACCCTATCCTTCTGGATACTGTAAAAGCGAAGAAATCCCGCGAAGTGTTCTGAAGGACTTAACGAAACCTGCACGTTTAATACTTGTTGATGGTATTACGAAGCGATTTAACCGCGAAACGAAGTTTCGCGCGCGCCCCGGCAAAATTGCAGGTAAATTACCAGCGGACGTTACCGGTGAAGGGGAAGAGGATGTTATGCTCATGCCAGGGCACTAACCCGGCACCTACCACACTGTGTTCCGCGTTCTGTGTATTGGATAATTATGGTTTCAACGGGAGGGAATATTGAATTTGCAACGCGTATAAGAGCTAATCGTCGAATATGCGAGAACGAAGAAAGCGGACTTTAATGTATAGTTTCGCAATCGAGTCCGTCGCAATAAATTTCATGTTAAAGAATTTTTAATATGCATGCATACATTCTGGAACATTCAATATGTCTTGTTTTATTTTATTTATACATCCGTAAATTTTAGCAAAATTTTACGTGAAACAATTTTATATTTATATATATATATAATATTGAATATAATTTTTTTGCGATATTGGAGATAAATGTGCGTGAAAAGAAATCCAATACTTTTGTAAGTATCAGATATAAAGTTTATAATATTGCGATTTGTGAAATTTTGTAGATAAATTACATTTTTCATTATATTCCGCTTCAATAATCTTAATACATATATAAAAAATTTACAATCAATTATATTTTTATATTTATATAAAATATACAATTTAAAGTATACGTTACAAAATATTGGAAATAAAAAAAATGTATAGGTACACGTACGGAGCAAAGACAATTTCAATTTTCGAATTGTTATAAGTATACTTCTAGTTTTTTACTTTTCCTTAAGAGTTTTTCTTGTGGCATATATATGATTTGCATTTTTCTAAATCTCGAAAATGTAAGTTTATATATTTATAATCTTCTATAGCTACATCCTCAAGCCTGCTTTAGCAGTGACTATATACTGGAATATATTTGTCGATACGGGTAGGAGGATCCGATATAGGATTAAATCGTCACGGAGTTAGCTGGCATGGGGATATATCCACTCATCGGATCGAATTATCTTCTTCCTCGTTTCTCTCTCTGCTTACAATAGACACTAGTTGTTTTCTTCCTTACAGGGAAAATTATATTTGAAGATGTTGTGCAGGATGACGATATCAACGATGGACTTTACTGATTTAAGACTTCACAGCTTATCGGATTTCCCAATATCCACTTTGCGTAATACTAATGTAATGTTTGTGTTTTTAGATGTATTTTTCACCACAGGCAGGAGAAGTAAGTACATGAAATTTATTCGATTATAGGAGAAAGTATTGTAGATTTCAATACTCGTCTTATTATTCAAAGTTGAATAATATGCATACGACGAGAATACACGAGAAAATGTATTCAGGGTATAAATAAAATGTGGCTTTAATCTAAAACGTTTGAAGGCTGAAAAGCACTTTGAACGTATTTCGTTCGTTTCGAGCGTGTTATATAAGCTCGCGTATATCTAATTTTACATAATAGACAAAAAAAAAAAAAAAGAGAAAAGTTATAAATTTTTCAATTTGAAACAAATTATTATCTTATCCAATAATAGGGCTCAATAGCATTATGAAAGCGATCCGAGCCCCGCGAGAACTCAAAACTATTTTGCATGAGAATAATAGAAGCGCATCATGGAACGTCGAATATAATCGCTATGAAAAGCACGCTTCATTAAGCTTACATTTACGCATACATTTAAGTTTGCTTATACAGGCAAGTTGATTATAAATTTCACGATGCGCAAAAGATATTATATAATTTCAAAATTTGTCGATTCTTTCGCGTGATAATAAAGCATGCTCCATTTTCGCAAGAACGTTAATGAATGCTCGTGCGAGAATAAGTAGACGATCAGGGATAATCGTCGCCATGAGAAAAGGGAGGGAGGGGAAGGATGTTTCATCCTTGTCATCCAGCCAGAGGAGCTGTCCAGAGGACCTATCCACCTATGCAAAAAGAGGCATCACAGCCTCGTATCGCGCGCGCTATTCAGCGTGATTAAGAATTAAATATTTATGAGAAAGAGGGAGAGAGAGAGAGAAGAGAGAGACTCTCTATGTCGACGGCTATATCGAGCTTTCTTCAGGACTCCACGTTGATAGCGCACTCCTGTTATGAATAGAGCGACGAGATACTGGATAAGCACGCTGAAAGCGGACGAAAATAGGCTTTCGTCGGCGTGTTTACTCTCTTTCGCCTCTTCCTACAATTCGCGGTGCAGTCTTCCCTCGTAATGTAAAGACGATCCTTTGTGAGGACGCTCAAGGAACTCCTTAATAATGAATTTCTCTATGAATGACTCGACTTGCCGTGTCATCGTACGATGTAAGTACGCTCGTAGATGAGCTGAATGCTGACGAGAAACAAACTCGGCGGGAACAAATTCCAGTTACGTTTAATCAAACGTTCGTCCAAACTGACGATCTTTCATAGATTCGCCAGCGCCAACGTATAAAGCTGAAGAAAGAATGAAAAGAACGCATTTCTCGTGTATTTCGGTCACCTACATAATTAACCGCTTTCATTTTGCAGCGCATCGTCCAGGATCTTTTATATCTACGCTTTTTTTTTTTACGTTCGCTTACAATTGACCTATCTTCGCTTTTGTTCACAGTTTTTTAACCCTTCGACGAGTCTCTATTTATTACAAGAAAGGAAAATCTGAATATTTTGTAATCATTTTAATAATCATAAGTTTATCTCTTTTTTTTTTGCAGCAAGTACATCTCTCTATTAAAACAGTTTAATATCACTGTTATTTTAATAATTATTGTACGAATAATATATATATGTATATATATATAATTTATACTGAATAATAAATCCGGATTTTTGTTTTTCATGCATATCCATGATACTCGATATATTTTGTTGATTGCGCACCGCAATTATAATCTAACTAAACATAATTATCTTTGTATTAGTTGTGGCACGTCGATTGTGAAGAGAAGAGAGGACTTTGAGTCCGGAGAAAGACAACGATAGCAACAGGTGGCATCAAAAATTTATTCGTGATGGCTCTCCATCAGCAGGGGACATTTGTTTCTGGGGATCACTCGACCTTCTTAATTATGATTCCGGAATGTAATTAATGTTGATAGGACATCGCAGGTGTATCATTAAGGTAATGTAGACACATCAAATTCAAATGCGAATAATTGATAAATGTTTCATCGTAAAGAACGCTATGATAATATTACGAGATAAAGAGTTCTCTCTTGCTCAACTTCGAAATCGAGAGTACTTTTTTAATATTAATCAAAAGTAATGTGTGAAGCTGGGTGGAAAATCGAGGAACGTATATTAAATCGTAACATGGAAAAAAATTCTTTTTCATAAAAATAATTTATTATTATATCTACATATATATGTGTTGATTAGCGTAAAAAAATACGCGTAAAATTCGCCTAAAAAATTCGTATAGAATGATCTTCGTGATTTTCTTTCTCTTGTTGATTTTATACAATAATAAAAATGAAGAGATATATAAAAATATTTCAGTAAATTGGACAAAAAATAGTGCTTTTCCGTAAAAAAAATTAAAAAGTTTTACATTCTACCAACATACATATATTTTATATATTTTCAACGAACATAAAAAAAAAGTTTCAGGCTTTCTCTTCTATAAAACCATTCGAACAAATATTATGAAATAATGGAATATTCATTACTTTCATATATTTTCTCATTTATTTTTCCAACATAATATAATGACATATCACAACATTCCTTTCAATAATTCGATAATTTGAAAAAAAAATAGCTCAAAACTTGTTCATTTTACTCATCAATCCATTTAATAATTTTGGTCCATAAGTATTCTTTTGTACATGCCAGGATCGCATTCGATTCAACGACATCCATAATCTGTCGACCCACCTGAACGAATATTCCTAATGTCCTAAAAACAGTGATAATAACTGAACGCAGAGATAATTGACGAGCTTGTAAAGCGGTTAATCTTGAATCTTTAACGGATCCGCTTATCGTGTTCTCGTAATTCTCTATAAATCGCCCGACGCCAGATAATGAAGGCGCAGCTTTCACGGCTCGGATACGGTCGTCATCCTGTCTCGATTCCTCCGGAACTGTTAGGATGGGGAGAAGTACGCGATTTTCGTAAAGCATTTGTTGGTGCGATTGTTTGAGATTTTGTCCCGACAAAAAGAACGGATGTATCCTTCCCGGTGCCGCTGAAACATCCCTCTCAATCCGTGATCTTTTTTCTACTCTTGGCTGCTGATAGCGCCGTTCTTTCATGTCGCTTCCCCCAGCTATTTCGCCAAATCGCGAGATAGCCTTCCTTTTAACAGCTTCTTTTCCGCTTCCTCGAGATTCAAGAGGCGATCGCTCAGCGACGCCGACTCTTTTTCCGCGAGGCAATAAAAGTGAATCGCGAGATAATTCCTCAGGCTTTCGGTGGGACACCTCTGAATTTATTGCTCTCTCCGGGTTGCACGATAAATTTCCGACGGAATTCGTCAACTTTACGATACCCGTACAACGCACTGCGACCGTGTTTATTCGCCGTAACTGCAAACGCGACGACAAGGAGTTTTCGTAGTTGTTCAAAGGGATGCGGTCTCCTTTGGGATCTCTCTTCATTCCGCGATCTTTCTCCGGTGTCCAGGGATCGGATAACAATTCGTCGACTTTCGAATTTCTTTTTCGTGACTGCGAATAAGGTCGAAAGGGAAATCGATGATTGCTGAGCGATCTTTCTCGGGAGACTGCGAGTAAAAATAAATTTCCTAGCACAGTCCTAGAATTATCTGGAATAAAAGAATTGTGATGATTAGTCAGATGCGGATATAAAACTTTACGACGCGTATCCTCTTCGAGATCCGTCAATTCAAAACCGATTTTGTCATCATCCTTGGGATTAGGTGTCGGATTAACAGTGTCCGAACACATCACACAAGATGAAAATTCATGATCGCGCAGGACCTCTCGTTGGTCGTCGAAAAGTTCCGGCACGATCGAGAATGCTTGTCGTCTGAAATTTTTGCACGTGTGTCATTTTGCGGTTAAAAAGATTGAACTAATATCAATAATATTATATTTTCAGCTTAAAAGCTTAAGAGAGAGAAAGAGAGATAGCAAAAGATAATGTTACATTAAATACATATATAAATAATACATTAAATTTTTTATTCACGCTATCAGAATCGTTTAGAGAAATAAATAATTTAAATAAAACAAGATACGTATCGTAAAATAATAGAAAAAAATTTTTAATTTAATTGATCTTTATCGCAGAATCATATTTTACATTGCGAACAAAAAAAAAAAAGGGAGAACAGCTCGCGTGTGAGAAAAGGTATGATTCTCACTTTTTCTGTATGTGAAGATCAATCATTGATGTAATCCTCTTAATTCCATCAATTTTGCTACTTTTCTCATTATTTGGTATAATTGGTAAAACTTTATTCATCATCCATTTCTCTTGAATCATTTTCATTCTTGAAACGATTCGATGTTCGTCAGAATCGTTGGTGAATCTCGAAATAGCGGATCTCGCCGTTGTATGCGAAAGTTTTTCTCGCAAATGTTTTCCTTTCCGTGTTTCTCTAACAATAAGCGGCATCATCGTATCCATTGCATTTTGCGAAAATAGATTTTGCTGGCTTTTCGTCGCCTTGACGGTCGTGTTGCAATCTCTTGTCGTGGCGAGCGACGGTGCAGATAGATTCGTCGACAATTCGTCGCTTATCTCGAGCAAATAGTCCGCCCAACAGTAACCCAGAGCTACCTCCTCGTGGTACGTCTTGTATATTTTCCGCCAATATCGAAGAGTTTGTCGAAACAGCGTAACGGAATCCATCCTCTGTCCGCCTTCCGTTGATCCTGATATCAACGAAAGCAGCAGAGCGGAAAGTATCGGAATCGTGGGCGACATCGATTCGCGTCTCCGTGTTTCTGGAAAGGACAGAAATAGATACGAACGATCATCTTTTCAGACATGCGCATAAATCGATTGAATCTGGTCAGAATGGAAAACTCGGTACGCTCCATATTTTTAAGACGATTGAGAGAATTGGTGTGGTTATTCATAAAAATTTTGTTTACTCTACACACACAAAGGAGAAGTAAAAATTAAGACGTTCGGAATAAGACTGTATTGATTCTATAACTTGGAAAATTTACTCTCTCTGAATAGGAAATTGTATTAATACAATTTTCAAACAAATTAAAAAAAAAATTTACTAAACATTTATATTTTATTAAACATTTATATTTTATAAAGATTATATAAAGATAAATGAGTTAAATTCTGCTTTATGCATGATAAAAACAGGGACTAAAAAATCGGTTAATCTCACGAATTACAGGATTAAAAAGAATATAAAAATACCTGGTGCGTTTTATATTAAACTGCCATCACTGATGTTCACTAGAATTTTGTATGAAAAATATATCTTTTTATATTATGTGATATTCAAAATTGCTGGCGACAACGAACGGGTGCGGAAAGAAAAAACACGCGTTTTGTTGCATAACGAATAGACGCGCACGTGAAAAAAGAGGGAGGGTATAATCAAATTCGTTAAATTATGTAAAAATTTCGCAAAACAAGAGAATCCCACGCCGAATATATTCGGGATGGAGATTTTCCTCTTGTAACACTAAACGGTAGACTGACTGGTTTATACGACAGGGACTCGCTATACCTATCCGTGACAATTAGCCAAAAATGCATAAAGCAACTTGCCGTGCGTAATCTGCCCCCGCTCTTTTTCTCTCTCTCTCTCTCTCTCCCTTTCTCCTTTTCGTATCTTCTATAGGTTATATCTTCCTCTTTTTTGCTATCTCTTTCCTACACGCGAAGTTAACGGGTTTTCTCATAGTAAGAAACACACACACAAGGATGATGGCGACAAGGATGATGGTGTTAACACAGGTCACCTCGAGGGGAATTCAAGAATTATCTCCGGCATAGAACGATTTAAAGATTATTTATCGGAAGAATAAATACATATACATAAATCTGACGCAATGTGCACGAAGGGGAAACGACAAACTTTTCCGCTGTCTTGAAGAAACGAAAACAGGAGCAGCTGGACGGCTGTTGTCAAAGAGCGCAGAATGGGAAAAGTAATAAAAAGAGATATTATTCTTGTGTACACGAACTATCATCATGGTTTAATTAATTGAAGAAAAGTTTAAGCGCGAAAAGAAGTTGAAAACTTTGTACACTTTATTCTCGAGATTTCTATTAAGTACATTAAGAAAGATCCTTTGTAATAATTTGTTTCGTCGCGTATTATAGAAAAAAATTTACTTATTTCCCTTGGAGAAATATTCTCATTAAAATATTTCTCATTTTATATTCTGAAAAAGCATTTGCATCACACAAAACAAAAAATAATAACGTTACAATGTAAGTATCAAATGTAAATATAATCTTGAATATATATCCTGATATATTTTAGAAAATAAAAGAAAGTAAAAAGATAACAAACTATACGATTTCAAAGCCGAATCATTGTGTGAGTTTTAATAGGAGTGATTAATGCTTTTTCTTTAGCCGTACTTGGCCAAGTAACCAACTAACGAATCGGATCTTTACTCGTCAATGATTCATCGTTTTATTTGCCCTCTTCTTGTTTGCCATGAACTAAAGGCATTCGTACGTTCGTCGTTAATTAACAGTGAAAACTATTTTGCAGCCTTTCTTATTTCGTATCTTTTCTTCCTTTCCTTTTACAACCGAAATTACATACCGTGATTTCCGCTTTTTGCAATTCAACAATTAATTAAAGTCCTTGAAACCAATAAAGATGAAGCAACATTAATGCAAGCAACATTATTTTCAGAAGGGATTTTATATTTTATGCATTTTTATTTATTCTCCACTGTTTTTGTAATCCTCTGCTTTTGAAATGTTATTATTAAGTTTTTTTCGTATATAAAATTGTTTGAACGCGAACGATTCTTTTGGAGACTAAAAAAAAAAAAAATTAAATTATCGCGGTATATTTACCAATAAAAAAAAAAAAAAAAAAAATTTAAAAACTTCATAAATTTAAAGCAGAGGTCGATATTTACCAATAAAAAAAAAAAAAAAAAGATTTATAAAACTTCATAAATTTAAAGCAGAGGTCGGGTTGCGCGCGCGATAACTCGTCCGTGAGTGCGAAGGGGTTAAATTACACGTTTCTCATCCCGTGCATCGTTTCTTTTTGTTTCTTCTCGCCGCGCCTTTTTCTACTTATTCTCGTCGCTTGGCTCTTCTTTTCTCTCTCTCTCTCTCTCTCTCTCTTTCTTCGTCCCACTTTTTCGGATATACACGTATACGTAATAGAAGATCGGGGGGGAGAAAGCAGTGCCGGGGATGATCCACGTAACCGCACTCTTGGAGATCTTAGATCCTCTTAACCCCCCGAAACAACGACGAGAAAGCGATATCTGCTTCTCTCCATTTCGCCACCTATACTACATATCTACTTATCTACCTACCTAGCTACCTTTCTGCTCTTCTTCTCTCGTCTCTTCTTTCTGTCTCGTGCTTTCCGTTTATTACCTACCTACCCTCGCAACACTCCACTTTGTCTTGCGCCCGACAGTTACATCGACACCCACTCGTCCGGGGCAAACCTGACCGGCAATTCTCGTTGGAGTAGTGCACAGATACTACAGAGGTGCAGAGATGGTGTTGGTTCAGGATACTCTTGTGGAACGTCAATTGCGGAACGAGAACAGAATAATTGAAGCACTGGCTTTTTTCGCGATGACCAAATCATTTTTTTTCCAGCTGTTGGCGCGTTTAACTCTCTTTTTATTGCTAAAGTAAGCATTACGAGCGATAATCGTGAATTTTCGATATTGTTTAAATTTTAATTGATTTACCGCTTTGTTATTTTTATAAATTGGTATAGAAATATGATTTCTCTTCAATTTTTCCAATTACGTATATCGTTATCGTTTATATCTAAAAACAGAGTTTAAAATGTAAACAAGTATTTAATTTTTATTTTTTTTTATTTGTGTGTATGAAGATTAATAGAATTAAATTACTTAAAAGCTTTGACCATAAATATACATATAGCTTATAATGGTTTTTAACGCAGTGGAGAATATCAAGATTAAAGTTTTTAGATCCTTTAATATGAAGGACGTACATAAATTAGCTCTTAAATTCCAACCGTGCGAATTTTAACTGAATGACAAGCAGCGAACCGGAGAGCTCCGTTCAGAAAGAGAGTAAAAAACGATGTTACGTGAGCGAAGTCGCTAAGCTGCTTTCTCGCTCCCTACTTTCGTATCGTCGATCGCGTTTGCCTAAATTTCCCATTGCACCTCCCGAAATTCACGATTACAGTGACACTCCTGATTACAAGTACGACGGAATGAGATTGGATTTTCGATCGTATCTTCCGGTACGATCTGATAACGATGTTTGAAAGACGCGGTCGTCGCTAAACGCGAAGCAGATTGAGAAGTCCGTGGTCGTGGCATTTCGTAAATTCGTGCCCAAGTTATCTCTAATAATGAAATCTCTCGCATCTCGCATCGTATCGACATTTTCTGAAGGCGTTCAAAAACTCTGACAACCGGACGCTAATGAAAGTTTCGCAGACGACATGGGATCGATGATGAACGAAAAACATTGGACGTTTTTCAATTTTCTCAGAACTTGTTTCCGCCGATTTTTATTTCACATATCAAAATGAAAAATTTACAAAATGGCCTTTGCGATTACAACATTATAAACTCAAATGTTTCCCTATATGTAATTTTTTTCAGATTAATTTCAAAATATTATTAAATAAATCATAGAGAGAGAAAGAGAGAATAGTTAAAGATTAGATAAATTTCTTATACTTTTATAATTCTATATAATTAGAAATATATAATATACATACATTTTTTTTAAACAAAGATTTTAGCATTTATTTAAAGTATCGAGCGATTAAATTCAGTTAGTGTTTGATTCATTTGCATGTATCAACGTTAGATTTAAATACCTATGTGCGAAAGCTTATCAAAACTTGTTATTTAACTATCCCACCGGCTTTGTCAGATTATATATACGTTGAGAGAGTCCACGCAATTTTCCATATTCCCAGATATATTTCTGGTTGTTATCCTTTATAGTGTAACTTTGTTACGATATAGCGGTGCACTCGGGGCTATTCGTTATGGCGAATGTCGGTTTCATTATTGTATTTCTCACAGTGTGGTTATTCTAAAACAGCTGTCACTCCCAGACGCTACAGAAATGATGACCATCTTCGTTCCACGGCGTATCGTGCGACAGTCGCGTCTCGGAGATAAATTTTATCACGCGCAGATATCGCTTCCTCGCGAATCGCTATTTGTAATCTTCAACTGCTAATTTGTTATGACTATAATAATTATAACGCTTTACACATCTAGAGTAAAATTCCATTTTCTTTGCATATAATAATGTCATATATTTTTCTTTTGCTTGGGATTATTGTCATATCCACATATTGAAATTGTATCATTATACCCAGTATATAGATAATTATATATAACAGACATGACATAAAAAATTTTATGACATTAAATATTTATAATTTGAAAATTTACGAAAGAGAGCCGCAGATATTTAACAATTATTTTAATAATGATTAGCTGCAGGCACGTACGCGGCGTAATTAACAGCATGTTGTAAAATTTACCCTTTCATCAATTTTTCGTGCTCTTGATGTCTATTATAACGGCGTATCTCTTTTTTATTTTTGTGCGGTATTAACATTAATATACGCCCGTTTATGCGAAACGCGGGGCGCATCGTCCGCATAATATTTCACGTTCATGTATCGGATTAACGTAGTATTGGATTAACGTAACATTGGATTAACACTGAGATGCGAGTACACCAGGTGGCTCGTTATATTCGCATTTTGCAAAGTTATGCGCGAAAAAGCGTCATCGCTTCGTAACGAGGATCCATTCTGAGGCCGTGTGTTTTAAGACTTTACTTTGTCCCGTCGTAGATAAAAGCCCCGCGTCGAGCTGGGAATTCGATTCATTAATCTGGCCGCCGCGAAACGACCGCGAAATCGATCGAGAACACCGCCTTCGTAGCCGCCGCGGAAATTGGGGCGCCTTTCGAGAGTCGGTCGCGAGGAAAGAAGAAGAAACTTCCTCTCCGCGCGTGCGACTTTATTTCTACCTAACTTTGTCCTGCCAGTTTACGACTCCCTGAATACAGTCGGCTAATTAACGGCGCTTCCTTAGCGGGCAAGCTGGGAGTAGCCAATTTCATTTCCCGTCTCCCTTTTTTATTT